AGAGAGAGAGAGAGAGAGAGAGAGAGAGAGAGAGAGAGAGAGAGAGAGAGAGAGAGAGTCAAGCCGTGCTTACCTGTTGGGAGCCACTATGATCATGCAAGGAAAGTGATCGGAGCTTTTTGGACTAAAGATGCACAAACATGTTTTGAGCATTCGATCTAAAGGGGTCGACAGCTTTTATGGACGGTTGTCGTCAAGAACAGTGTGAACAGTGGCTCATTGCCATGCGCAAACATGTTTTGAGCATTCGATCTAAAGGGGTTGACAGCTTTTATGGCCGGTTGTCGTCAAGAACAGTGTGAACAGTGGCTCATTGCCAATACAACCATAAGGGAGAGGGGTTAGGTGACATGAAACAGACAGAGAAACAGACGGACATACAGACAGAGAGACGGCGAGATAGACAGGTCGATAGACAGACAGATAGACAGAAGACAGAAGAAATCCTGTGCAACTTTTTTTTGTATAATGATACTATAGTCATAATTCTTTGAAAATGATGGCTGAAAGAGTAGCAGAGAGGCCAAGAAGAAATGAGGGAAACTTGAGGCTCCTTGTGCCCGACTGTCCCCAGAAAGGACAGCCCGAGAACATAAAAGAATGAGGATATCAGTGCCCAGTTCAAGGAGCGAGATCCTTGTGGCAGTGAGATGCTGTGCGCACAACTGAGGAAGAGGGTACTCACCATGGCAACCGCGGACCCGGATCCGGACACATGTCTGGACCGAGGCCCAGACATTTGTCTGGACTGGTCCAGACGTCTGGTAATCCAGACAGGCACCGGACAACTGCACAGGACCAGACCGTCCGGACCAGTTTTTTCACCGAACGGCGAACACGAGAAATGTCTGGATCGGGAAAAAAAAAAAAAAAAAAAAAAAAAAAGAACATCAGTAAGAAACAGTACTAAACTTAGTACATTAGTAATAAACAGTACTAAACTTAAGTAGATGAGTAATAAACAGTACTGAACTTAGTACATTAGTACTAGACAGTACTAGACAGTACTAAACAGAAATGAATTGCACACAATCAATGACAGTTCCGTGTAGGGGGACGGAACTTGGTACTTACTGTCTTTCACTATTTACAACTTGGCAGCTTCCGACTGACGCAGACATTCAACAAAGGCTCACACAATCAAAAAAAAAAACGAAAAAAAAAAGGCTGACACAACACTTGAAACCAGTTCTGAACAGAGCAGTGCCAACACACTTCAGAAAAGAGTACGAAAATCAGAAAGAAACAGAACTTTGAGCTTTGAAGTTAGAGACTGTTAGACTTTCTAATGTATATTCATATGAAAATTGAGAATTTAAACTGTCAAGTTATTTAGATCTGCGTAAGAACAGATCTGAGATCTGGCCAGGACCAGATCTAAGACGGGATCTCAGATCTGACCAAAATCATCTCTCTCCCTCTCTCTCTCTCTCTCTCTCTCTCTCTCTCTCTCTCTCTCTCTCTCTCTCTCTCTCTCTCTCTNTCTCTCTCTCTCTCTCTCTCTCTCTCTCTCTCTCTCTCTCTCTCTCTCTCTCTCTCTCTCTCTCTCTCTCTCTCTCTCTCTCTCTCTATGTTCTGTGGGGCTTTGCAGCCAGCGCTTCATCTTCGGCCTTGGTCATGATGAGGGCGCCACCAATCAAGTGTTTGCAGAAGATGCTAAAGTCTTCACCCGAATAGAGTACCCAGCCGTCATCATACCTATATTTTGTGCAATTTTCAGTCTCTAGACAACGATAATGACTTGGCGTTCTATTCGGGTATTTTTCCATAATCTAGCGGAAGATTCATTCCCGTTTTGCACACTTCGAGAGTAGTGCAGCGAGGCCCTATATAGAGAAAAGGAGAGCCTTCTGTCCAGGGGCAAGGTTCAACTAGCACATAGGACTGGATTCAGCGCCTGAACCTGGACGTGTTTGTGGAGAGAGCAGAAAATCGCTATTGATCATCATATCTGCATCTTTGTGTAAAACACGTTCAGATTCAGGCGCTTAATCCAATCCTCTGTGTTCGTGGGACCTCGCCTGAGGTGGCCACAGTGGTACGTCCACGTGGCTGTAGAATGGCCACCTCGAGTTTTTGGGGCAGTGGTCGGTGCCCACCTCAGGGCATCAACCACTGCCGAATCCGCGTTGAGGTGGATTATCACATTCATAATCATCAATTAGAGGACTTTGCTATATATACGGTTTACCGGGCATCTCTTTTTGACTATATGTATGTATATATGTACATATATATATAAAGTGTTAATCCACCTCAACCCCCAGCACACGGATGGAGGAGACATCAACACGAGTGGATAACCGGCTGGGACAGGTGGAGGGAAAGGGACAACCAGAGGGTTCGATGGAGGTGGGAAGTATGGAGGTGGAGGTGGGGGCTGAGACGCACGAACAATCAAGGATGACAGCAGGGGAGAGGGAGATTGACCCCTTCCAGGCCGCGTTTGATTCAGAACCGATGGAGGTCGACCCGCTCCCAGCCAATGCCAGCACGTCACCAGAGGTCTTGGTCCCGGAAAACGACCCGGAAGGTGAGGAGGAGGGGGCGCCGCCACCACACCTGCCGATAGAACAGAAACTGGTCGCCATTGCAGACTGGCTGATGGGGAATTTGAAAGCTAAATACGGCCCCCTCACCGATGATTTCTGGGACAAGACGTTATTCCCCATGCTAGACAAGAGCGCCTCACTCAAAAATGTATTGGAAAATGGACTACAATCGGAGGTGAAGTGGACGGAAGCATGGCACAGACTGACTACAATAGTGTTTGCTCGCTTTCAACCACCACACGCAGCACCAACAAATGAAGCTGAGCAGAACATGACAGATTCGACGGACACGACAGACACGACAGACACAACAGGCACCGAACAAGCCTAGAGGACTCGGGATCCCCCAGTTCTACAGGAACCAACCCCGCTGCCGGGCCCGGACCCTTCGGACCCAGATGAGAACGCACCATTAGACCTGGTACGAAAAAAAGAAAACTTTGTCACTTAATTGAGTTCGGCTGCGACTCCGACCCCTTGTCACGTGAGGCTATATTGCTCATCCTTGTTCGAAAGAAGAATGAAAAATGGGAGGTGGGATTGTCTCTGGTAGAGAATGGCCGGCAGGGGGGGGTCACGCTATAGGGTTGGACATCATTCTGGGCGGAGCCACAAAATAGGACATCTGAGGCAGCGGCCGGCCTTCTGCAGATGCATTTACAAGACCACATTACAGAAAATCTACCACCAGGGGCACAAACACTAGCCTCGATCACAACAGGCCCCAACAAAATAGCACAGCGAGACATTTTCATACGCTATGACCCTACTAAGGAGGCAGGCCTAAGATGGCACACTCATGCCCAACTACCGAACCTACAGACAACCAAAATTGGGCACAGTGACACCTGGTCTGAACAGGACGTTCAAAATGTTTATGCGCCCTCCTCAGGTCCAGCCCCTCGCTAGAAACAGCGGACTGGAACTGGGATCCGCTGCCGTGGGTCCGCCGCTAAAGAGGCAACTACATGCCAGGTAATAGGAAGAGTATATGAATATTTCGAGCAAGATGGACCCGGTCGGAGCGGTGTATGGGAAGGACCGTATCTGGAGCCAATGCAGGAGAGCAGCAGACTTGGACCTGAGGTCCCTGAATGTGAATGGCTTGGCCTCATGCAAATCTGAAAAACAAAATGCAATTTGGGACTTGATGAGAGGGGTAGGCGGTAGGACCTGGCCAGATATAGTGTGTGTCCAGGAAACACACGTGATGGACACTCCGGAACACAACCGTACCCACAAAATGATCTGGCCACATGAGGCCTTCAGAGCCGATGCCCCAAAGCTGAGTAGTGCAGGGGTAACCATCTGAATTCCCCCCGAATCCAAGGCGGACCCGGTACATTGGGTGGTGGATCAGGAAGGGGGTCGATGGGTGTCCATCCTGGTCACGCTGGAAATTGAAATTTTATGCATTTCGTGTGTCAACGCCCCTAACACCATAAGCGAGAGGAGATCTTTTTTTTAGGACCTCAAGTCACAAATCCCATACGGGGTCCCGGTTAGAATATCAGGGGACTGCAATGCAACCCCGGATCGTTGGATGGATAGATGGCGGACGCCCTCCCCTACCCCGGCGTACGTGGAGGAGGATGAGCGGATAATCTACGAGTTATCCCTGTCGCTAAAAGTTTTTGATTCCTTCCGGAGGCTAAACCCGGATGCTAGGTTTTATTCGTGCCTACGGAAAACAGGTACTGAGGGCCAGTCAAGATCTCGGATAGACTTAATTCTGATCTCGGAAGATATGGCAGGATCGCTGCTCCTAGCAGCGATCTTACCTGCCAGTCCCTATCCGGGACGATCATAAAATGTGTACGGTCATCTTGTTGTTCCGACAGAAATCCGACCGTGGACTTGGCTTTTACAAACTCAATACTTCTATCTTAAAACAGAATACCTTCCAAAACTACATCAAAGACTGTTGGGCATTCTGGCATACACATCGGCAACAATTTCAGCAGGATATTGATTGGTTTAACAACGAACTATTCTATCTGGGTAAAAAAATGTCAAGAATACTCCAAACTTTTAGCCGCTCGAAATCGTCAACAGGAGATGGAAGTTCATCAACAACCGCAGCAACTAGAGCAACAGGATCATCCAAACAGTTCGCATAATGGCCAACACAGAAAACATACACAGCCAGATGATTGCTCAGAAGCTCAAAGGCTACAACTCCGACATCAGACCTTTGCTACACAACGTTGGGAAGGAACACGAGTAAGAGGAAGGTTGACAAAGCTACAAATGGAAGGAACAATGGACAAAAAATTCTTGAGTATGGCTCGAGCACGCTCGCACAGAATAACCATCGAAGCGCTATACGACCCACACACCGGACACCAAGACATTATTACCTCCTCTCCCCACTGCTTGCAGATAGCCAGGTCCTTTTTCAAGGATTTGTGCACTTCAAGATGTGCAAAACGGGAGAGGAACATCAGGGAGAAGGAAATAGAAGATTTCTTGAAACCACTGGAAAAGACCCTGATAGGCCAGCAACAAACAGATCTGGATCGTCCCCCCTGCAAGGAGGAAATCTAGACGACAATGATGCAGATGAATGAAGATAAGACCCCGGGCATCGATGGATTTCCCAAGGATTTGGGGAGACTTTTTGAACCCAGATGTCCCAGGACCTCATGAATTTCTATCGCCATGTATGGGATACAGGGAGGATGGGGAAGTTGGTGAGGCAAGGTATCCTCACCCTGCTGCACAAAAAGGGGGACAAAATGGACATCAGGAACTACCGGCCGATAACGTTGCTCACAGTCGTCTATAAGATGTTTGCAAAAGCCCTAGCAAACTGACTGATTCCGGTCCTAGAAGACATTATTCACCCAACGCAGACTGGTTTTGCCAAAGGACATAGAATTCAGGATAATGTCTTATTAGTTAATGAACTTCTCAAATTAACCAGGCAAGATAAGTAGAATGTGGTTGTAGTATTCATCGACTTTGAAAAAGCTTACGACCACGTGGACTGACTATTCTTAGATAAATGTATGGAAAAAATGAACGTTGGACCAATATTCCAACGCTGGACCGAAATACTACATCATAACGCGACTACGTGTGTCCAAGTCAATGGAAGGTTGGCGCCAGCGTTTCTGCTGCAACGATCGGTTCGCCAAGGGGACCCTTTGACACCCTTCCTCTTTATCATAGTGATGGAAGCGCTGACAGCGAACCTCCGAGCCAATAAAGACCTAAGGAGACTGCAGATCTTCGCTATCCCAGAAGACGCGATCCGTGTTTGCTCGATTTTGCTGGCGACCCGACTCTTATGATAGATGTCACTGCAGCAAACATAGACGAAACTAGGAGATTATTTTATCGATTTACAGCAGTTTTAAACATGATTGTCAATTGGGGAAACAAGACCTTGGGTTGGTGGATCCACCATCAAAGGGTGTGCCCACCCGAGCTGCCACGGGTCAAATGGCTCCCGGAGACGACCCCAGTTAGAGTGTTGGGA